GCTGGGCAAATACGTGCACATATCAAATGAGCATTCACATTTACTACCGGGTAAATGTATGGATGATATGATATCTGCTATATATTTGCCGTTTGGGATTTTACTGGGCCATAMGGACTTTGCCATCTGTGCCCATGGGATAAATGTGTAGGTACATATCATATACAGTCATTGGGTAAATATTGTCTACTATTAGTCAAATATGATATTTGCCCATATATTTGTCTATATGTTTGCCTACATGACAAATCCATTTTTTCGTCGAGTGCTACAGAAAAAAGTCCAAAGAGTACAGTCGACTTCAGCGGCAAGTTTCGTTATCAACCGCTATGCCAGAGAAGAAGATGTTGTGAAGCTTGGCTGGCTACCAGCAAGAGAGCGAACTCAATTTAATCTGATAACAACCGTCCACAATGCAATATACAACCAGCGTTGGCCAGTATACCTCCCATTAGAGCTACACGCACCGAAAATGCAATTACTTTCAAGCAAAGCCCCACAAGTTTGCATTCCACTAGAATCAGGGACGTTTCAAGACTCTGCGTTAAACATATTTAATGAACTACCACCATATGTCAGAACTTGTRCATATTTAAGGACTTTTAATTAACCGTGACGCCAAAAAAGATCCTGTGGGAAAGAGCGAAAAAACGACTTAACTATAGATAACTCTTATTGTACATAAATATGATATTTTATAGATTTATATAGCTTGGGGATTTCATTAGTAATTTAAGGTGGAACCAAACTAATTCAGAGCAAATTTTGGACAATTTTATTCTCGCTCCTATGGCAAAACTATTACGTCAATTTAACTGTATTTTTCATATAATGTGCTTGGATTTTCCTAGATTCTAACAGTGTATTTTATTTTACGTTTTTTTAAATGTTTAGCCTATTACGGGCGAAAATCAAACAGTGCTATATTTAGTTTTTGGCTTTTTTCTCCTTATCCTCAGGTACGATTTTTCTGAAATTTTCAGAATCTTATCATCTAGGACTATTGAAGCCTGTGTATGAATTTGGGTGGAAAGTCTTGGGCAGAAAAAAAGGTATGACGCCGCTTGAAAATTCGATCCAACATTTGAAGCATATGAAACATCGCGCTGCAGAAACATTACCATTGAATGGATTGCCTTGAAGTTTTCACATATCTATTTCCAAATATTGCGGATGAGCCTTACGAAAAATCAGCATCAAATCTTAAAAACTTATTGAATAAATGTTATTTTACTCATTGACCTAATTCACTATGACGTCACTGCTTGTTTATGTGGGGGATAGAATCGCCAAATCCAATAGAAAATTCAACTAAATTTGCTCCTAGCGAAACAGTTTAATCTAAAATGGCCTGGTTTTCAGATATAATATATGTATGATATGTACTAAAAAATATTCTGAGCGTTTGCTGGCTATTCTACTTCTCTTCGTGGAATGATACGGGATTTAGAACAATTTTCGGTTAGTTTGCGCTGATTTGACGCCGTCCGACGACCATGATCCTTTGCGTTTAAACAATAGATTGTTGAATATTGTTTTGATGTGACGTCATAGTGAAGTAGGGCAATTGTCGCTGTAAAACTCAAATATGAGAGTTTTGCTAAAAATCCCATTTTCGCCGTTTTCTTCAAAATGGCTCCAAGTTTTTTCTTCGAACTTCCTACATCAATAGACCAGAGCTTTATCTAGATGGCAGTGAAATTTCTACAGCTCGTCCTCTCCAAATTTTGGAGAAAACTTTTTTTAAAGTGAGGTGTACCTAAAGAGCTCACAGTTAAATTGACGCACTAGTTTTGCGAAGGGAGCGAGAATAAAATTGTCCAAAATTTGCTCTGAATTAGTTTGGTTCTACCTTAAGTCCCACTTATTATCAACTTTAATTCATAAGGTGGGAGAGGGTACATACATAAAGGAGGGACTTATGTCTGGAATTTCAATTGGTAATTCACAGTATACATTTCACTTTTAATTAGATTTATCAAATAGACAGGGGTGGGGCGAACATGTATATATGAAGGATGGAATTTTAATTAGTAATTCATTTATATTTCCCCCGCTTATTATCATGGTTTGGGGCTTGGCTATAGGTTTTATCTCAGTAGGGTTGGGCTTATAATAGTATTTAGGTATTATTAGTCTCTTAGTTTAGTATCCAGGGCCCGTTTATAAGAAGGGTGGATAGCGCTATTCGACGGATAAATCTTATCCAGTGGTATTTCAGCGCCAAGAAATTTCTTTAAACTTGGCCATGTTGTGTGTTAGGTTTATCTAAAAGGATCCCAAAATTTTCAAAATCGCAAAATCGAGTTTTTGTGAAAACAGTGCATTTGCTTAATCGCTTACATCTCACAAATTATTAACCTGAAATGCAATCAGAATATACCATATTATAAGTAAATGATTGTTTTAGATGWTGGTAAAGTTTTATGGCAATTGATTAAAGGGCGCAAAAGGTATGAGTCCAAAATCGACATAAGCGATTCTGCCATTTGGAAACACCGAGCCACCTTAATATTATTTGAGGAACGTGATTGCATGACATGACCTTGGATTATTTTTAATTTTGGGGTTTGCCAATTATGCGAGAAATGTGATTGCATGACATGACGTGGGAATTTTTTTAATTTTTTAACATCCTGCGAGACGCTGAGAGCTAAACGTCAGAAGGTTATGGTCGATTTGAAAACTATACAAGATTACTTTACTTTTTAGATATTTTATTTTCGATATTCTTTGAAAGACAGGGAGTTTTCTCGGACCTCGATCTGGTGTGATGTAGAATGATCGAATGTAGAGTATACAGAGTACATGTTTATTGGTCAAAATACTCAAGTCTGGCCGTGGATTTCTAGGAAATAGAAATGGAAACTTTTAGAAGAAAAAAGAAAAACAACAAAAAGCAGGTTTTGTACAAGATAAAATTCTATCAAGAAGCTACATGGAAATCGGAGTAAGCACTGATGCAGATGCCAAAAATAGCGCTGACGTTCACGACGTCATGTCAGTCGTCTGTCACGCTGTCGCTCATGATATATATATGAGCTGTTTCAATAGTTATAGCTCAATCGTACAGTTCGAATTCAGCGAAGTAATTCATACTAAATTTATTCGACCAAAGATTTTATTTCTTTTTATTCCATACTTTTTACTGACATCTAATGACAATGGTGGCTGCGCTTGATTCTCGTAAACTCTATTTTCCCAAGTCCATCAGTTCTAGCTTAAAATGTGAGCTGTGTAAGAATCTTTTAAGAAAACCCAAGCAATCTACCTGTGGACACAGGTTCTGCCAGGACTGCTATGAACGACGGGTAAAGTAAGTATATGCAAAGTTCGTATGTGGTGGTATTCAAGGCGACTCAGATCTAGACCGGGTCACTAAACACGACTAGTTTGAATTAAGTTTACAATTGAAAAAATTGAAATCTCATCCAATTTAAAATGAATCGAACAGTTAAAAGATGGTTTCAAAATCTGCAAGATATATTTTTAAGAAGCTATGGTTGTAGTTAAATGAGTTGAACAAAGTTTCAATTAAAACTTCTAGCTAATTCTGGCATTTGGAAATCGTGACTGCGTTTTCGCAATCTGTTTGCTTCAATATTCTATCAGTCCAGGCGACCAATAAGCATTGAGTCCATACTGAATAATGATAATGCGTGAATGTACATGGGTTGTTTACCATCAGATTGGAAATTCCGGTTTTTCTGTAAATGGTACAAACTTCTCCCATCGGAAAAGTTCGTATGTGGTGGTATAAAAGGTGGCTCGACTGGGTTTTGTTTGTGGCGTACCTTCGAAGTTTGAAGGGGAAATGCGTCGCTGCCAATAAATTAATTTCAAATAAATTATTATGACATGTCTAGAGATAGATTCAAGTTTTAAATGATATACAATTTATCATGATCGGAGTTACCATAGCAATTATTTTCTCTTTTTCTTAATAATAAGGAGTATATTTAAAGACTACGTGACTTAGATTTGTTTTATATATTGCAATTATTAATTAGTTTTATCTTTTAAATATTTACATTTTATTCATAATCAATAGGTAAGCATTTTGTAACTATTGTAAATATTCTATTGTAATTTTTTGTGAAGCGCCTTGGACAATTTTSGAGATGAGCGCTATATAAATAAATTATATTATATTATTATATTAATACAGTGACGTCATGTCATTTTTTTATACATTCCATTTTTGGCGAAATGAGACGTTTGTTTTAAAAATTGTTTAACAGAACTTAAAGTTCATATGTTTGTCTTCAAGTTAACGAAGTTTCGAAGATTTGTATGGAAGCGTTTCGAAATAATTGCCGTCGGAACTTTTGGGCAACAGAAATGTAAACAATCCAAAGCAATTAGTTCATGTGACCGAAACCTTTCCTTTCTGGACTTGGGAAAAGCTTTTTTTGGGGTCATAGTGTTGTGTTACTATTTCAATAGTCCTTCTGAGAAATGGAAAGAAACGCGTCATTCGATTTCGAGAAGTATGAAATATGATTTCAAGCCTAGTTAGTAAAGTTGTGCATGAGCAACAGCGCGACAGACGACTGACATGACGTCATGAACGTCAGAGCTATTTTTGGCTATGATAATTTGTGATTATCTAATTTGTGAATATTCTAGCCAATAGAAAGGCGTAACGATATAAACAAAGTGCGAGTGAAGAAAGCGGTCGCATATTTAGAATTAGGATACAAATGTTTACGGAATTGAGAATATTATTTGACGGTTTTAAATTATTTCAATGAACTTGAAACTTTAGGGTATTTAAATGCGTTATCTAAAGTAACTGACTTGGAAGTTTAAAAAATTCATCATCGGATTATTGAGTTTGACCGTTTTTAGTAATGACAAGTGAAATCTTTGATAAGATATCAAAAGGATATATATATGAGTTGTTTCAGTGGTTATAGCACATTCGTACAGTTCAAATTCAGCGAAGTAATTCATACTAAATTTCTTCGACCAAACATTTTATTTCTTTTTATTTCATACTTTTTACTGACATCTAATGACAATGGTGCCTTCGCTTGATTCTCGTAAACTCTATTTTCCCAAGTCCATCAGTTCTAGCTTAAAATGTAAACTGTGCAAGAATCTTTTAAGAAAACCCAAGCAATCAACCTGTGGACACAGGTTCTGCCAGGACTGCTATGAACGACGGGTAAAGTAAGTATATGCAAAGTTCGTATAGTAATATTCAAGAGACCCAGATCTGGACTGGCCATGCTAAACACGACAGTTTGGATTAACACTTGAAAAAAATCTCATCCAATTTAAAATTGATCGAACAGTTACTGTCTGTAAAAATCAACCAAAATCGGCTTTTCGTGGCACAAGTCAAAAAATCGATTTCGTTCATATTTTGTCCATAGGTAGCCTATAGCGTGAAATGAAACGTGCTGTCGTTAGTTTTTTAAAATATTGCTTATTTTGGCGAGAATTTGAGAAAAACGATTTTTACCGGAAACAATACTGAAGTCGCCTTTCGCAAAGGTCAAAACTATCAGATTCTAATGAGCCTCGCGCTGGAAAACTACGGCTCTGAACATCGTTAAAACACTACATTTTCTTTGTTAGTATATCTCTTCTTAGTTTGCCAGTGAAATACTTCCATAATTTTATTTATTTTCGTCTGGAAAAAATTACAAATTTAAGCTATAATCGCCAAATTGCTCGTAAACAAATCATAGGGTCTGAAAATTTGCTTACGTTTCATATGTACTCTTCATTCAAATTGCTCTTGTAGACTTCATAAGACAATAATCTTCCAAAATATACAGAAAAATCGCTGGGCAAATTATTTTGACTGAGCTGCTGGGGAGCTTTCTGATGGCTATTTAGCAATTTTTTGGCTCATTATATATTGCGTGACATGATAGAAATTCGCTACGACATTTCAAAAATCTCTAAAGATCGTCTTAAAAAATAGTGAAATCGATGAACATTAAGTATTTCTTTCATTTACAGAACTTCGAGTTATTATTTGGAAGATTTCTGAACTGTTTGTTTACCTCCAAGATCATGAAGCTTGAATCTTGCGTTACACTAAATTGTCGTGAAGGCGGCACAGAGTCCCGGTAAACACTGAATTAATTACTCATGCCTAGGCTCCGCCGCACGAGTCTTAAAATGCAACGCGTATAGTTTTTTTTTTTGTTCTTCGTCCAAGTCAAGAGGCTTAGTCCCCCTCACCTTCTCAAAGACCCAGGCTGCACAGGCTAGAAGTTTTCCATCCGGCAAGTTGACAGTAATACTTACGGTCTGAAACTATAAATTACTGAAGAAATGAACCTCATGAGCAATAGCTTATTTTGGTTAACTGTTCAAGATTCATCAACTCCAGCAGTACTTTCTGGACGAACAAGCGAAGATCGACAAGGAGAACAGGGTTTCAAGATAAGCGATAGTAGACATAGTAAACAAATTCATTTAGCGTGACTCGTTGTATTCTATTGAACTTGACAATATAGATATTCTTATAGCCTATATTTATGTATTTATATCAACTGTTTTGGCTTCAAAGTCTACTCACAAAGGAGCACGAGGTACATAGCAATATTCATTTTAAGATTCTATTTGATTTAAGAAGCAAAATAAATAATTTGCTACGCAAATTCCAGGGTTTCATCTTTGCCGTTCGAAGCGTTTTGATCTCCCTTAATGTTTCTTCAAAAAAATGGTGATTCATTAAAAAATATCGATAAATTATAAAATGTAAAGCAATTATGAGAGAGGTTTTGAGCAAATATTAGCCTTTATTTACGTTTTAAATGAAGCATTTTGATCTTAAAGCGAATATGCATGCTTCTGAAATGTGGTTGTACAACAAGCTAATTACGTATGCAAAAATCCGGATTCCGGAACTGGAATTGGAGTTCCAGATAAACGCCTACAAACGGCTTTCCACACTGTCGTTCGAAATTGTGCAACTTATTTTTACTTCTCCTTTAGATTCTTAGAGACTATAATACTAGTAAACCGTCCCAACCAGGGTCTGGACATGTGAAATAGATGCCGACAAAGCCCGGATTGGGTACTGTTATTACTTCATTAGACGACAGGGTGAGCTTCTTCTCGCCAAAGGGCAATTCCTGGATGATATGCTGGCTCGTTATGAAGCAAATAAAATGGTCCAATTTTTCTTGAGGAACACGCATTCTCGTATGACACGGTCTTGGAACAGCCACTCCCTTACCATGAATTAGTGAGTGTTTTTTGGCGATTTGATAGCGATATCGACTCAGATCCGTTCCCGAGTTTGGTTTTCGTCATGACTGCCATTGATAGATGGTTAGCCTGGTTACCAAGCCTTCGAGTGATGTCGGTCGAGTGTCGAAGATCGACCGAAACTGGAAATCCCGAGAGTTCGCACTATTTTGAAATCAGGTGTAATCTTCATCGATTTCACTATTCTTGAAGTCGATTTTTAGAGATTTCTGAAATAGCTTGTCACGTCACGCAATATACCAC